TGGGGAGGAGCACCGAGCTGGGCTTGGCGGCGGAGGGGAGCAGCTGAGCGCCGGGGGAGACCGACTGCAGAGCCATCGCCGCCGCCCGACGATCGATCGATCGCGCGCGAGCGCGAGAACGCTAGAGAGAGAGAGAGAGAGGGAGGGTGCGTGTGCGTGTGCGTGTTTGTGTTTGTGTTTGTGTTTGGATTGGGGGGGGAGGGAGAGGAGGAGAATAAGGGAGGGAAAAATGTGGACGCGAGCGAAGATAAAATGGTGGAGAGGGAGAGGGAGAGAGAGAGAGAGAGAGAGAGGACTGGCACCACCCGAGTCTCACCTCCTCCTCTTCTACTAGTACCACTACTACTACTGCGACTACTACGCGAGGTGAGGACTCGACTACTGGTTGGCGTCGTCCCTGCGCATCTCGCCATTTCCCACTTCGTCGTCTTCCTCCTCGCCTTTTTTCCCTTCGTACGATGGTTACAGCGACGGAGGGTGGCTCGGGGAGGAGAGGATCTCTGACTCGACGGTGGGCCACGATTCGGTGTGTGGTGCCTAGAGCTGCGCGATTGGGGGGGGCTTGATTAATCCGACGACGTTGATTTCGCTGATGTCGGGTTTTTGTGTGGTCAAAGACAAAAACGAGCGTTGGGGACCCACGCTGGGTAGAGAAATTGAATCACAACGTGTTTAGTTGGTTACAGTAATTAATTACTAAGGGGGGCGCACGATAATTATTCTTCCAGTAACAGATTTGGAAGATAAATCCGTTTGGTTACGTAATTTCATTTCTCTATTTTTTAAGTAAATTTTTAGTCCAAAAATAGGTATCGGAACATAAACGAGAAGCAAAAATTTTCTATTTTCGAAAATCTATCTCAGAAACAAAATAGTTACCATTCGTATCTTATTATTACTGATTTTTTTACCGATTGTTTTGTTTACAACAGTGCTGCACCAGCGTTAATAGCTATCTACCGTTAAAATACTCGGTGTCTCTTTTATCCCACCAGCTCTATCGATGTTAGATTGCTAATTAGAGCTACTATTTATGTGAGTTATTAACTGAGTTTATTCAAAGTGACTATTTAGCGAGAGCGCCAAATTATAATTATTTGGAAATAGTCAGATATTATAAAGTCAATAAGCGAATATGATGTGCAACCATTACTTATCAATCATATCTACAAAATCACGATGTCCGTCCATTCGATGCCACCGTTGTCTCGAAGAGTTATGACTTTTGATGGTTCAGGAAGTAATTCGAACACTCGACACGTGACGGATGATTAATTTGAGTGCTATTATATAATCTATAGATCATGCGTAAGCAAAAAGCACTGTAAGTAGCCATTGGCCTACGATGCGAGCCTACGTTGACCCAGCCCGTAGCTGAATGTTCCCCTTCCTCACAAAGATTCACTCCCTCTATACCTCGTGACGCATGGCATGTTCCCAATTGTTTAGTTATACTGGACAAAGTCACGCACGTCTCCGGTCAGACCCCCTCTCTATTTTACTTCTCATCTTCGTCTCCTCAAACCTTTTCGGGGCGGTTAACGTGGTTCGGTGATCGAGGCACGTCCCTTGACTTGTGCGAATGGACACTTGTCCGTGCCTCACGGCGGCCGCATCATTAGAACGTGTGGCCCCTACTAGGTTCTTGTTGTTGGGACCACGATATCTTCGTCCGAGGAGATTATCAAGAAAAAGCTTAAATCCGAGCCCGTCAATATATTTAATTGGACTTATCTTCACTAAAAAATTTAAACTAATGAGTTATGGGCTAATTAGGATAGATTAACTGCTCCAAACCATACCACTTATTCGATATGAGACTTTTCTAATACAGATCACACGTGCATCTCAATAGTTCTTAGGACGATTGTCAGGAAGCGGGAATGGACTGGACCACACCCCCACATCGAAAAGGGGAGTTCGCCAGTGCCATACAAGCCAACACTAGCAAAAAATTCTCTATATGGAGGGGTCTACGGCATCCCAGATCATCGAGCGACTCGACAGTCAACACGTATCCTCGAATTGTGATTTTGATTCACGTGAAACGTCCAAGACTTTCTCGGCTTGCGCTTTGGAGGGTCGGTGGCCTCTCCGCATCAAACAATCGAACCAAAGCGGGGAAGTTTTCCATCTTTTGTAGCAGCTGCGGAGATGGTTCGCCGAGAGCGACGTGGAGGCGAAGCGAGGTGAACGGAATCTTCCGGGAGATTGCATGTTTCCAATTACATAAGCATCTGATAAGGATAGCTATAGGTCTCATGCTTGCTTAATCAAGTAGTATTATATCTCGTGGATAAGCTGTGGAAACACTATGATATCGATACATACCAATTTGATGTCGCATTCGGACCCTCGCCAATTATTAGGTTTATAAATATGAACTTCTCGAACGCAAATTGTTTAGTCACCTTTTGCCCGTCAGCGCTTGCATTGTTAGGTGTTAGATTTGGCTTCCTTATAGTTATTATTTATAGATAGATTCATTTCTCCTGTTCTCCAACGAAGACCAAAACCGCCCGAGTTGCGAAAAACCCTAAAGTGATATGAAGGCTCCATTTGTTACCGCGGAAAATGAATAATTCGGAAGATACTTTACTTGAAAAAAAATAATCACCCGATGTGATCGGTCGATGAAAGGCGTTTTCGTTATCGACAGTAAAGTAATGTCCAGACATCTTCGCTAGCGATGGAATCGTTTTTCGCTTGTTCATTTAGAAAGATCTTTTCCAACTTGTTCGTTTTTTTCGCGAAATGCATCACACCCCGTGCCACTTTAATTGCATGCACTTCTTCAGTGGAGGACAGGAAGTAACATCCAAAAAGCATAGGAAAGTCAAACCCTCATCTCATCAAATCATGGGCGGGACACAAATCACTGGGGACAAGTTCGATGTCGATCGTGCGAGGAAAATCACGAGGAAGCCTCGTGCTGGGAAATAATCTCCCCTTGATCTCGTTCACCTACTTCGATCGCGTATTATATTCTCTCTAAACCAATCAGATGATTCGTCATTAATCTTATCCTGTTAATCGGGTCAACTGCACATTTATATTAGTCTATGCAATCAAGTTGATTGCTTTGATACAATCAGCCCTGATTATTGAAGTAAGGATGTCGTCCTTGTCTACCGCGACATCGACCATAAGCATCGCACGCCCGCCGAAAGAATGCGCTGCTGCACGGGGCTAAAGGTTGGCTAGACGCGACGTCTTGCAATTTCCGGAATTAGTTAAAAATGAAGGGATGAAGCCCTCGACATTCGACGTCGTATGTATATTTAAGGGTGGTTCCAAGGGATAGAAGAGTACTTATAGTTATTGAAAGCAATAAAAGTTGCACGGGAACTTATTGCGAGAGATCAAACTCTCCATGCATAGTAGCGAAACTCATGCAAACGATTGCCTGGTATACACTTTTAAACCATACTCAACGAAGCAGTATTAAGATTTTTGAAGCGATGATTGTGCAGATCACAAGAAGAATGCATCAAAGGCTACAGATTGCAAACTTTTCTTTGTTAACGAAAGTCCTTTTATTAGAATCAGAGTTCTTAAACGTTCAAGGAGTTGCTTTAATAACCACAATTGTTTGGTTCGTGTGCGACGGATCTCGTACCAAAGTCACTGACTTCTCGCGACAAAGCCAACCTTTAGAGGCCATGCTCGTCGTTGTGTGGATGAAGTTATACTCTATGCGAGTGGATAGAGTGGCTTGCACGAACCCCAAAGGTCGAATATAGTCAGTTGGAGCGTTGTGAATTTCCGGCTCACAAACTAGAGATCATCCGTTTGAATCCCACCAATTTATGTGGTAACTGCACATAATCAGGGTTATCGAAATAAATGGTTTAAACTTAACCTGTTCAAAAGATTCATTAAGTGCTCCAAAGGCCTCCAATCGACCGGGTCTCTGCGGCCAAGCCTTGCCTCTCACGATCTAAAGATGGGCCATTACAAAAGTCCTCTCCTTTCATGCTCAAGTTTCGAAAATTGTGAATGAATAAGTACTGCTTCAATCTCTAGTCTGGTTAACCCCGTCTTCCACAACCTCTATTGGACCTGTTATGTTTGGACGCCCTTATGTCGGGCTTTTTGTTTAAGAATTCTTAAGTTTAAATAATATCGAGGTTTCTTACGGCAAAAAAAAAAAACTCTAGTTTAATCTGTCTAGTCCTAGAAGAAGTGAGGACGAGGAAGGCATTCAAGATCTGGAGCGGACCGAGAACTGTCCATACATTGCCTGTGGGAACTGTCAAAGTGGTCCAGTGATTGGTTTAAGGCTTCCCTTAGTCTGGTCCGGTCCATTTGAACCCAGCACTCTGTTTTCTTTTGCCATGTTCATGCATCTGGGTCTGGTCTGGCTGAACTCTAGCGTTCCTATCAAGCCCTAAACACCTCACACGGCTCGGGATAAAAGACCATACCTTAGCGTAAAAAACTTGGGGGGGAACAAAAATTTGTACCGTCTATAGATCATGCAATAACTTCTCAAAACCAGGGCGGTCGGAAGGCGTTCGAAGTTCAATGTTCAAGTAAGAGTGCTTTGTCGCGTGCTGAGTGTCGTCATTGACACGCTGTGCGAGATTGTAATGAGATAGCGCCGATCAGATCAACATGTAGGACTTGAGGAGGAGAGAGTTACTATTGGATTTCGGCATTTCACACTATACCACAAGTAATGGTGCGATGCATAACGTGGTTGCAGATAGGGAATTGATAAAAGCAAAGTTTTCAAATACATAGCTCGTGTATTCTTTGTACACGATCTATATCTATCACCGTTGATTTGGATGACTGGTCAATTTTTCAAACTATAACTGTCCGGATCGTTTAGAAAAAAAATAGAGTACCCAAGTCGAGCAAGATATAAAGGCTCCTGGTGAAAAGTATATATGACTATGCTCAAAATAATAACTACACAGGATTGCTTTGTGTAAGATCAGGACTAGTCTCAGTATCATCAATTCTATACTAATTCAAATAAAAGAATGGATCAATTACATGTATATAGCTACTCATTTGGACAAAACATTACAAAGTTGCAGGTATAAATATTTCGTCTCCTTTGTGCAATTATTCTATTTTTCTTTGCACACTCCTATAAAAATGTGTAATCTTCCATGTGCTCTGTACATTGCATTATACAGTTTTAAGTAATGGCCAGCAAAGGTGGTCGGCATCTGGAGTTATCCAAGGAATGCCGAAATCCCGCAGAAAAAATGCCAGCGAATCCACGGACCATTTTCACAACTCATCTTCGAGGAAAATGTTGAAGATGAAGTCGCGGAAGCGCCTCGAGTATTGCCTAGGATCGACCGCTGATATCGAAGTCGGATCATACTGGATGGACTTGTACGCGTGCTCGAGCTTCTTGCTGATGTCGTAGTCCTGGAGAATGTCGATGATGCCAAAGAACATCACCACCTCGTAGAATTCTCCGGTAGGTTCGCCAATGAGCTGAAACTCGGAACCGCCTCTTCTAATCGATCTCTCGACGCGAGCTGGCATGTTCACACCCAACCTGATACTAGCCCACCTGCAATTAATCTCTCGGAATGTGTCACGTGATTGAAAGAGAGAGAGTGAACATGATCATTTTATAGGACTAAACTCAACAAGATCCTTGTTCTTGACGTTTGGATGACATTGTTGCTATGCTTTACGAAATTTAGATCCAAACCTGGTTGGATCAAGAAGAAGCTGGTCTACATCAGCTCGAGAGAGACGAGGAGCGCCTTCATCTTCCTGGTCACCTGCAATATGAAACGAACCCGAAAAGTTAAGCTAAGCTCCTATTGCTTACTTAGAAATTGCACGATTCAACACTCAATGATTAGAAAATAACAGACTAAATGGGCGAAAAATTATAACCGGTTGGAGTACGAGCTCCGGACGGGATTAGATACCCCGCCACTGATGTCTCCCTGAAGTAAAGACCAACCAAAAGGCTATAGTCCATGATTCTCTCTTGCTCAAGAAACTCACAGTCCCTATCAATTTGCCTGTTGATAATAGGAACAGTGCTATTATATACCATCAAGACCAAAAGGGCAATGGGTTCAGCGAGAAAGATCGATGAACAAGATTGGAGATCCCTTTCCTATCTGTTGTGGATAACAAGGATGAGCATGCCATCAGTTACCTGCAGAACTCCTGAAACCACGGCTTCTGAAGGCGAAACAAAAAATTCAGATCGAGATCCTTAAGGATAGTGTTCCCGTCAATTTCCGACTCGGGCTTGTCAGTAGTGCGGCCGAGGGATGAGCCTTTGAGATCGAAGCGCCTATGGATGGTGTACTCAGAACAAAAGAGATTGCCCATAATGATGAACCTCACCTAATTCACCAAACCATGACTTCAGTCGCAAATCTTGCCTATGTGTGCTTGATGTTTGTGCATTTACTTTCTTTTATTACAAGATCTAGCTGTTGCTTCATGAAAAAAGTTTCCAATGATTAGGCTAATCATACTAAGAACAGTTGCCTAATTAGCTCGATAGGATCTTGGCTTCATTTGCAATCAAAAATAAAATTGCCTTCATGTCAAAGAACTGGTAATCATATGTAAAGGCATTTTCTACCTTCCTCTGAATAGGTCCAGTTAACTTCACACAATGCAGACCATAGAATTTCGTCACCAGAGTATTCTCAAAGGCTCGGAAATGATTATAATAAGCCGAAAGCATCCTCAGAAGCACCTGAATCAATTGAAATCAGCAAGAAGGACGAACATAGTATCTTTTTCTACTCGACAACCGACAGAAGATGCAGAACTCACTTTCACTTCTGCCTTTTTTATTGTCTTAATCATGTATCGGTCGTCATTTGTCAGATAGAAAAAGCTGCCACTCTTGCCAGGAGACGAGAGTTCTCGGAGGGCGTCATTCCCGCAGATTGACAACATGTAATCGGCCGGATCCACCTTGAACAACTTCCTCAGGGTCCTAAAAATCACGTGCTACAGTCAATAGTGATAAAATTTGTACAGAAAACCACGACATACTGTCTCATGCTTCATTTTTTTCCTGAATGGTATTTGCCATTAAAGCATTTGAATTTGAAACTCTTTCTTCCAACAGCATATCGGAATCCACTGGTACAATTTAGGCTTACAAAGCAATAACAATAGTTCGACGTGTCAAATTTGACAAATCTTTTTCATAACTGAACCGAGGGCTGACCTGAAAACTAAAGGGCAGTAGTCCTTCCATTTGAAGTCGCAAGATTGGTGCGGGGGCGTGTATTTGCTTCCTTCCGGAGGAAACCTCGTCCATACCTTTTGCTTGGGATCGAAGGCTGATGCCTTGAGATCGAGAGATACAGGCGGAGGGGCTCTTCCAACTGAATGCCTGCAACATGAAAAATGATATGCCCATCAGATAACATTTGCACGTACATATGAAAATGTTGTTTGAGCTTGTCTAACTGCCAATGCTCAATGAATTTAGATGTCCAATTATAACCGAATCTGGAAGCAAAATCACTTGATGCGAAAACTCAAGTTCATCCCTTTCAGGTAAGACATTTGATAAGGTTCATTCGCATACCGTACCTATGAGACTTTGCAGATAAGTTGGCTCTGCAGGTCAATAAGGTGATATTTTTTAGTTCTACACTAGAGTTCATGTACATCATCCAGACATGACTGAAAATGGAACTACAGAGTGATCCTAGACGCCAATACAGACTGCATGAGACGAAATCGCAAGAGGAAATTAGGCAAAATTAAATCATGAAGAACAGATCCGGTGGCAGAAAAGTTTCGAAGTTGATTTATACCTTATCCCGAGCTGCAGATTGAGCATTAACTCGTAGTTCTTGTGCCCTTTGTAGATTGTCTCCCCTTGCTTCTTCCCTGTTCTAGGCAGCCTCAATTGCCCTAGGAACCCCTCTAGGTTCGCCTTCTCAATATCCAGCCCCAAGAGATCCACCTCCACGTCCCTCCCCAACTCCTCGAACGTGCCACTGCCGTCCCCATTGCCGCCCTCCAGCATTTCCATCCGGTCGATCGTCCTCTCCACGCCAACACTGACTCGCCCATCAGCTGACACCTGTCTCGGCCGGGTGTCCCCCTTGGACGACCTCCACACCGTTAGCTTCTTCTGTGAGGGCAGGATTGAGACCTTCTCTCCGGAGCAGATCTCGTGCCCTGACAGCCCGTCATACACCTGCTGCGGGCTCCACTCGAGCTTATCCCCCTCGGCGGGCGGCGACCCGCCCGCTGGGTAGTAGCTCCCGCTCCGCTCCTCCAGGTCTTTGCTCCAATTCCCCAAGTAAAAACTGCCATCAGGCCACATGAAAGTCCCATTCCCTTTGGGCAATCCATCTTCCCACAAACCTTCATATCTATTCCCATCGGACCAAGCAAAAGTGCCCTTCCCACAGATCACACCATTCTTGAACTCACCCACATAGCAATCCCCATTGGCCCACTGATACCTTCCACTCCCTTCCTGCAACCCCCTCCTCCAATCGCCTTCGTAGCAGTCACCATTTGTGAAGCTCCTGACCCCGTGTCCGTGCTTCAGGTTCATGACCCACTGGCCACGGTAGACATCGCCGCTCGGGCCAGTGTATGTGCCCTTCCCGTCCATGTACCCGCCCTTGAACTCGCCCTCATAGATTGCCCCAGAAGGCCAGCTGAACCTACCCTTCCCCATCTTCTTTCCCCGGTGCCACTGGCCTACGTACATGCAGCCGTCCGTCCACAGGTACTTGCCGTACCCATGTGGGAAGTTGTCTTGCCATTGCCCCGTGTAGCAATCCCCGTTCAGGACGAACTGCTCTGCATGGTAGATCTCACCGCCACCTGGAGAGGCATCAAGGCTTTTGTTGTTGTTGTTGATGTTGTTGTTATGGTTCTTGTTGTCATCGTGATCGCCATCCTCGTCTTCGTCGTCGGCATGGGCCACGGACATGGTCCCGAAGATGCTGTTGGCGCGCTTCTTCGCGGCCTGCGTCTTGCGTAGGGTCGCCTCCCACGCCTTCATCACCGTGTTGCTGTGTTCTTTGCTCATCTCTTATAATCAAAAACAAAAACAGATCCCTGCTCTATCTATTCTTCCTGCTTTCTTACGTCCGTTCTCGCGAATTCTTCAATCCGATGCATTGTTTGATGCGATCCAAATGCACGTGAAGATCTATATTCTCTTTCTCTCTTCGTGTGTTTGCCTGACAAAGATTTGGAGTCTGTTGAAGGTTTTTTTCCTGTTTTCCTCGTTTGATCTTCTCTTTCTTGTTATCTATCCATGTATTTGTCCGAACGGAGCGAAAAGAGCGATTGAACCAAGGATCGGTTGTTTCATGTCTCTCGGGCAAGAAAATAACTCAACGAACACCCTCCAACGTTCCTGTCTTTTCCTTTCTTTTTATTTTAGCTGAGCATTTTCTTGTTCTCTCGTTTTCTCTTAACCGAAATTGTTGGAGCGCAAGAACTTTGCATTCAACTTTCATGTGCCAGTTGGTGGTTTAGTTATCATCATCATCATCTCTAATTACATATTAGAACAATAGATTATCTTATCCTTGGCCCTACCGTATTTGTAAATTGATTTTTCGTTCTCGTATGGCAGGATAATCTGTGCACCAGATTACCAAAATCACAAAATACATAATTCGTATTAAAGAAGAGAATAGGATCCACGATGCTTTCAAGCTATGAGTAAATCTTGGACTTACGTTGGATAGCTGGAACTTGGAAGCATCTCTATGTTTGACCTCAGAAAGATCGAAACATTCGACTATAGTATATTTGATTGTGCAGACGGATAAAGGAAGTTTAAGATTCTTTCAAAAGGGCTTACAATGGAGATTATATTATGTATGTTGGTGCTCAAGCCAAATTGATGTACTCTTATAGGTGCGTAATTATATCGCGTCGGTGATGATGACGTGATGTACAAAACCGACGTGAAACACTCACACCCTTGTCTTGAGAGGTGAATTAGCTTTTCATGCAAATTAGGTGGAAGGGGCGTTGGCATGTCATTTGATTGTAATACGCAAATCATCACAAGAAGCTAACGCAATCATTAAGAAAAAAAATCAATTGTGAATCATGAAACTTCAATACTCAAACATGCAATTTTCAAATAACGAATATGAAATTACTTTATCTTAAGTTTTATTTAAAGAAACGAGATTCACGAGGCTTGATATTAATAGGACATATGACTTTTGATTCATTTGATTTAGGAGACTCGAAATACCAATCTGAAAATGGCGTTCATGGTGCTATAAAATAGCCAAATGGGAAAACCCGGAAGTCATTTTTTACCTCAAACTCCTTTGTTTTGACATTTTTCAACTTTTCTTTTTTAGAAAAAAATTTGTGACCCCTACGACTGACCCGGTCGAATTTGGGCCCCAAACGTCGGACCGGTTTCCGGGCTTCTGGCCATTTTCATTTTTTTCTCTACATGCCTACTATAACAAGTGAATTTGAATCATCACACCAGCACCAGGCTTGATATATTGACATTTCAACCAAAAGGCAAGAGCAGATAATCCTCCTTATCCGTATATGAAGGGAAAACAGCACATACTAGAGAAAGTCCTTATGTAAATGGTGTATGTTTGAGTCAGTTCATATCTTGTTGAACTTGGCTAGGAGAAAGACCGTGGCGGAGGTGATTCCGGGGATGAAGATCTCATTGGGAATCGCATTCGGCGCAACTCTTTGCTTCATGAAGAGCGCCGTCACCGGGATGCCGAAGAGGTAGAAGAGGATGTCCTTGGCTCCGATGCCAGTGAATCCCGTGTCCACGATCACCTCTTGCAGGATCTTCTGGAACTCTTCCTTGGTCAACGATTTCCCTTTCCCTTGATGGTGAGTCTGCAATTTTGATGACATGAGCCAAATATAATTCTCTTATCAGGGACATTAATAAGTAAAATGGACATATACAACCTTTTTCACGATAATACCAAGGAAAATTATTACATGATTTGATAATAATCAAGGAGTTTGCAAAGCTGGATACTGATTCGTTTACCTGATAAGCATGCTGGAGAGTGGAGAGCTTCGGCACGCGAAATTGCGTGTTCCCCAGCTTCTTATTGATTTCTCTGTCCCAAAGAGAGATCGACCATCAAGGGCATGAACGCAATACATTGTTTGGAAATAGTTCAAAGATATCGAATTTGAGAATCAAGACATCGAAACTCACTCCACGGTCTCGCAAACAACGCGGTAAAAATCCGCCAAGCTCATGTCCTCCACAGCGCTCTCTTTGACATGGCTTTCGTAAAATTTCTCGACGATCGGCTCGATCTCTTTCACCGCCTTCTCTCCATTTCCCACAAGTGCGTTGCCCATCTTGCTCTTGCTTCGTGAGGCCTCCGCGACGGATTTTGAAGGAGATTTTCAGGGTGTCTTGCTAGAGAACCGCGGAGAGGGGCATTGACAAAGGCTTGCATGGTGGGCATAGTATAATGCATTGCTTTAGGTTGCCAACTTTTTGTGTCCGGAATATAGATGGGCACGAAAAATTGTAAGTCCGACAAAAGTAAAAGTTTTTGGTTGGTTTTAAGGAAGGAATCGATTTATGCGATCGAAACCAAGTGATCGCAAAGAAGCCTATTCCTCCGTCTCTTCAACCTTTTTCACAACCCCAGTTGGGCTCCAATAATAAGTTTCTTCACTGGTCCTTGTTTGCTGTGAAAATGGCAAGAAGCTTTTGTCAAGGGAAAAGAACAAAAAGGAAGATGAAATGATAAAGAGACGAGGGAGAAAGTGTTCTTGGGAAAATCATCAAAAAAGTCTTATGCCTATTATACGCATGTCGATTCAGTTATAAACATTTTGATGATTTATTAAAGTAATCATTCCGGCCAATTTTGATCGAAAATCGCTATTGTGGACGCCTACCATACTATTTGGCATGACCGGCGGAGGCAAATATTATCCACATTAACGCCAGCTGCATCACGTACAACGATCGACACTGACGTGGACAATTTTTGCAATCTTTTTTTATTTTTTTATTTTTTTATTTTTTTCTTATTTCCCTTCATCGGTCTGCAGCTTGGTGTTGGCTAAGATTCCCTCACCCAGGCCCTCCTCGACCCACAGTAAAAAAAAAGGAAAGAAAAAATGAAAAAAAAAAGAAAGAAAATTAGAAAAATTATCTTAAAAATTGCAAAAAATTTCTACGTTAGCATCGACCACGTCATGTAGGACGTCCAACATTCATGTCAGCGCTTAGGACTAAATTGACTAAATTGAAAGGTTTATGACTAAATCAACATCTGTATAATAGGTTTAGAACTTTTTGGCCCCATGATTATTTAATGATTGTTTAATCTCTGAAACGAGCTTAGACTCAAAGATGAAAAAGAAAATTCATGAAATTCATATCACCATTTTTTCAAGAATATTTTTGTCAATTCACTTAAAACGACATGTTCAGTAGGGGTGAGCATTGGTCCAGGTTGAACCCAGCCGGTCCTAGTCCAATTCCTAGGGCGATTAGGTCAGTCATTGGTCCTAGAACCCCTGAACCCTACACTATGTAGGTTGTTCCTCGGTCCTAGGAGTTTACGGTTGATCCAATCCAAACCAACCCTGTATATATTATATATAATATAATATCTATTAGAAAGTAGAAAGAAACCCTACTCTAAACCCTAGTGCCTCCCCCTATGTTCTCTTCTTTCTTATGCAAATTAGAAAGTAGAAAGAAACCTAGCCCTAACTGGACCAAAAAAAAAAAAGAAACCCTCTTCGCTCTCCTTGGCTTCTCACCTCGCTCGTCATGCGAGCGCAGCTCAGCTGGACAAACATACTTTGTTAATAATTAATTATGTGTGTTGTTCATTTTGTTTTTAGGTATTTGGAAGTTGAAGCAATCATTTAAGAATGAACAAGATATAAAGCTGTATAATTCATGATTTATATTACGTATTTTGAACTTATTATGGTTTAATTGTATTTCACGCGTTCGTTTCATGGTTTGTTACTTTTAGCAAGTGTGAAATTTATGTTGTTACCTTATCTAATATTTATGTTTGATATCTACTAGTATTCATAGTTTGGTTGCTCAATGTCGCATTGTTGATGATATATAATTTGAAATAGTATGTTTGTCCTTTCAATGAATACAAAAAATGAAAAAAAAAATCGGTTGGTCCGGGTTGATCCTAGAACCGGATCGGACCTATAGGGTCGATTCGGTCCTCAATCCCAGGCTAACAAGGTCGATCTTCGATCCCAAAAATTGAGGACTTCTTAATCAAGTACAGATCCATAAAAAAAAGAGAAAAAAAAAGTAAATATTTGTATACTATGTTACATCTCTGGTCGATCTTTAAGACGGGCGGAGATATGACCAAGCCTTTATGCCCTCTAAATCCTTAGGTATAAACAATGCTACGGTGATGGGAGAAACATCCCCCTTCTATATAACAAAGATAATTGTCTTATTTCAGTATCATGTCCGAAACGTACAAATCCCTAAAGAAGGTAATAAAAATGTCTTTAATATAGGAGTTGAAGATTAATAAAACAGCATCGCGCTAAAATTTTCACCACAAAAGAAGCTAATGATTATCGACCGAAATTGAAGTAATACTTCGTGTGGTCATCCCATCGATCGCCCCTTCCTACCCTTTCACTTATAAAAAAAAATCATCGTGCGAAATTTCTGAAAAAAAGAAAAGGAAGGGGAAATGGGGAAAATTATTGTGTAGAATCTGGAATCATGTGGAATTTGGATGTTCTTTTCCTTCCTTTTTTGTCTTTTCTTGTGTACGGATAACGCCAGCCACGCGTGGGGGCAACATTTCGTCAGGAAGCTGTGTGACGTCGCGCTCTTGGCGAAAGTTGTGGGCTAGAACGCATAGCAAACTAGTGTTGTGTGGGGGAATGAGGCGAGGCTCTCACATGTTCCTTTTTGTCGTCGTTCGGCCTCGTCACATTCACGGGGGCGGCTCGCCCTTTAATTATTGAGAACCAGACAATCATCAGCATCATTGTTGTGTCTCCCCACCCCAGAGTTCTCTCGCATGAAACGTGCGGGACGCCGACAGGCCCAACGACAGCCCGAACCGCTTCCCTCCCGCGCGTGAACGCTCGATGAGTCCCTTAGCCCACTTCGGTTTTTCTCGTTCGTACTTTTAAGTGAGAGGTAATTTGGACGGCCATTTTCATCTTTTCGTTTCAACATCGGTTTACAATTTGCATGTCTTAATGAAAACCATGAACCTAAAGAGATCAATCTACTCTCAGATTCATCCAAATCCTAAAGCATTCTCTCTCTCTCTCTCTCTCTCTCTCTCTCGGGATGCCACCACCGACCACGACCAACAATGCATCACCACCACTTTCAACTGACGTCAAGTCGCCACCAACCCCGATTGAGCCCTCTATGCATCTCTCTCTCTCTCTCTCTCTCTCTCTAAACTATGCTCTCTATGTCTCCCTCTTCTCAATCATGGCCGCCATGGAACGAATTTGGGCTTTTTTGAAATAAAATGAAAATAAAAAAATTGGGCCGGTCTGAGTGGGTAGTTCCATCCATAAAACCAGGAACTGGATCGAAAACACCAGGTCCAATTTTATTGAATCAAGAACTGGACCAGCGCCCCCAGAAATTGCTCAGAATTGGTCGGTTCAATTTGGGTAATTCCCAATCCGGGCGGTTCCTATTGCTCACCCCTATATTTTTTTTATTGTGAGTGGATTTGAAATAGTGAGAGGGACAAAACTGAAAGAAAAGCGACACATTCTTAAATAAGGGATGCTAATTATATGTTTTGAAAATTGAAGGCATGAATTAATTGAAGGTTACAATGCGAGTTTTTTTCTTTTAATATAATTAAATCTCATCAATGAATGATGATTATAGGAGTATGTCCTCAAAAGGTTTTTGTGTGAGATAGTAACTAACCAAGTTTCTTACTTTGTGGGATTTCGTCACATGTCAAGTTTTCTACCTTTTCTTCATCATGTACCGGAGAGTAGTTGGGGTGAAGAAAATGAAAATATCGATCTCTCTTTTTATACAAAAAAGAGAGTAAAAAGAAAAACTATTTCGATATTGGTAAAAGAAGTTGCTTCGGAACGCTTATTAAGTAATAAGATAAGAAAGTATCGCAATTTCAATGCATTGACTATTCTCGTGATTCGTAATATACATAATCCCTACTTTGAACATTAAATATTTTCTCATTAAACATGCTTAGTAGGGGTTTCGAAAAGCGTACGAATTAGAAAAGTAAAAAGGATTTTAATGCCCTTTATATTTAGAAGATGATCAACATGCTTGTTTGCATTAAATGCAGATTAATCAAATCTTTTGACCAAAAATAAAAAAGAAGAATAATCAAATCTCCTTTGTGCAGAAACCAGGGCGCGTGCAGAAACAGCACGAATGGCGCGCGCGTGGCAATCCTTTCCCCCGACCGAAGCCCGACATGACGTCAGCAAAAAATACACTCGTGCCACGTCAGCTCTTCCCTCCAAAACACAGTTCCCCGACACGAACACCTTCCCCTGACTGACTGACACACTGGTTATGCAATTCTCAATCTCAATCTTCGGCGCCTTCCATTCTGGCAACTCGTCCACCTCGTCATTCCCCTCTCTTCGGTGCTTCCGTTTCTCCTTCTTCTTTCTTCTTTTTCTGTCTGTTGCGGAGTCGAGTGCACCTCTTGCTCTGCTATTATGGCGGGGGAGGAGGAGAAGCGGCAGGGAGAGGCCGAGTTCTTCCTGGAGCACGACGACGTCGACGACAGCGAGAATGGAGATCTCGAGGTGAGCAAGACCGGAGGAAGTAGCAGCGACGAAGAGGGAGAAGAGGACGCGGCGCAGGGTGGCGTCCCAGGCTGGAGCGGTTCGCTGGTCCACTCCGTCCCTCAAGTGTGGCCGCAGAGCTATAGGTGACGTTTGCTTACGGTTTTACAGATATTAGTTTTCTATATTTCCCCGATCAATCGGTCCACGGCGACGCCGCGGTATGGCAAAAAGTTGCCATCCTGGATTCTCGTTGCTTGTTTGGTTTTCGGATGGTGTGTTCATTAGCGAAGGAGGTTCTGTCGATGAATCCTGGTTTTGGCCTTTCTTGGCTTTCGGCAGCGATGCCGGATTTATCCGAGAAGCGGGTGTGTTGAGTTTGCGAATCGTAAACGTGTGATCTTTTACACAATGAGCATGTGGTGCTGCTAGTTGATTTTGTGTCGTTCAACAGAGTGTCGATCATCAGAAATGTTTGAGGCGTTGCTTTTGCTGATCCTTGGAAATGTACTCAGTGGCAGGATAGAGTTTGTGCTTCCTGCTTGTTTTTTTCTTTAGGAATTTCCTCGTTTCCCGCCAGGATAAGGCCTATCAAGATTGTAGGGGCATTTTGGTTCGTGCAGAAAGTAGTTTGCCAAAACTCGAAGTCGACATTGATGCTGCGAGTCTAC